AATTATATATATATATATTATAATTGCAAAAATCTTAACTTTTTTGTATAAGTTCTTTAAATATTTAAGATGTATTATGTAAAGTTTCATTGATGTAATAGTTATAGAAGGAAAGTAATATTATATTTTTAACTGAAATGCATATAATTCTATTTTTTTTTTAAATTTATATCACTCACGATAGAATGTTTCAACTTTAGAAATTGCATGGTTATATTATTTTGTAAATAAACAAAATTTTTCGGATTGAAATTCTTGATATTGTTTAAATTTTTATGTATAAAAATTTATAATTATAAGCATACATGTAATTAACCAGCTTGGCTCATTAGCTCTTTTTTTAATTTATGTTATTATTAAAATATTTATACAAAATATATTGTTTCCTTATTTTATTAAACACTTAATTTTTGCGTCACAATGAAACTTATAATTGCATTTTAAATATTTAAAATATTTACATAAAAAAAGTTTAGATTATTTTTGTCACTGTATGTTTTTCAAATTTTAGTATTATAATAAGAAAATAATAACAAATAAAGTAAATAAACTATAAAAATGTGTTTAATAAAAATAAAGTTCTTGGAATACTATTTAATTCATATATATATAGCTTATTTAAAATATAAATATTAACACATTTTTAAAAATATAATACAACCTTAATGTTAATACTTTTTGTAGAACAGTAATTGCAATCGAATTAATCTCGGTATACGCGAATAAATAAAAGAGGTGGAATTAGAATTCGTTTTTTGTTGATTTTCCCTTTTTCCATTGGACTTTGGTGAGCTCACCACGCGTGTAGAGATAGGAGATATAATTATAGTAATTACTAATAGGATATTGATGAGACCTTCCTATTGTATTGATGTTTAAGTTTATTATTATAAAGCTTCCCAGCAAATGAGAATCTTGAAATGAATTGAAATGGATTCAGATTTTTAGAAATATTAATTCACGAATGTTAAAATGAATGTTTTTCAATTCTGAATGCATTTTTATTCATTTATAAGAATTGCATGGAGCATATCTCTATGCCTTTCAATCTAAAAATAATATTAGCTTTTTCTGTGCACAACACACACATTGTGAATATTGTTCAATTCAAAATTTTGAATAGAAAATGCAGTTTTTCAATCCAATTGAATCTAATTGAATCCAATTGAATCTAATTAAATCCAAAAAAAGTCGCTTAAAATTTAAAATACGTATTCGAATAGAAAAAAATTTCAATCCATTTTAATCCATTCTCGTTTGCTGAGTTGATATCAGATATAAAAAAAAACAATATTATTCCTCGTCGTGTCTCGGAGTTTGCTATGTCTATTATTCATTCTAGAATTCATTGATTGCATAATTAAACATTGTATCTTATCGTATATCATTTACAGAATTTATATTTGATTATAAAATCATTTCTATTTTGAAAAATTTGTAAAATTTCGATGTTATAATTTAAAAGTAGATTAGATTGATATTTAATACTTTTAAGCGAAATAAACATCACGCGCATGTAAGATTGCAGAGATTAATATTTCTGATGCACAATTTGTGAATGCACGATTATATGAACCAAGTATCGATTTATCATCTAGAATTGAAAAGTAGATTACTCTCAGAAAAATGGACGTATTATCTTTAGAGAAGTGGTCGTATTACCGTCAAAGCTATGTAATTTACATTCACTTTGTCAGGAGGCAGTAGTGCGCGATAACATTTTGTGGTTATAAGTTTTGGGCCGGCATATCCTCTCTCAGGTTTCTCTCTAGTAGGAGTTACAGTTGGAGTCGTTGGAGGAAGTAAGTGCATGTTGGAGCATGTGACGTGACAAATTTCTAGTTTACATCGTTATGCTTGATACGGATAATAACTAGTATCTTTCTGTTGAATGGTTTTAATTTTGGCAATACGTGTAAACATATATACTATGTGTATTTAATTAATCATTTTGAAGCATATTGTACCAATTTAGTACATCATTCTTTGAATACATCGCTGAAATGAAAATAATTTAATAGAAAGTTACTAGTTAATACGTGTATCAAGTGCATGATGTAAACTAAACAAATAGTAATAGTAACAGCAATTCGCAGGCGCAGAAAACGTCTATCTAGTCATTAGTTGTCAATTTAGTTTGCTCAAAGTTGTAACCATGTGAATTTTATATTTTCTTTTTTTTGGGTAAATATGTATCCCTTTAAATGCATAAATGAATTGCTAGAGATAACAAGAAGATTAATATTCGAACGCGATCTCGAATTTTTCTAGTTTATATCTACGGGAGAAAGAGACTCTCTCATACATCTTATGTATGAGAAAGGAAGATGTAATATTTATGCATATTTCGCGAAAGAAAATTATGTCTTACTTTTTTTCTTTTTTTTTCAAACTTGAATCGCTTGTCATTCCGAGCGTTTCAAGCTTGACGCACATCTCTCTTGAGGATAATAATAGGATGTTCCCATGTGTTACCTTATCCTTGTTTAACATTGAGTGAGCAAAGTTAAACATATGTGGAGGCTCTTGGGTAGATTTTCGAATGTAGCCTAGGCGATTTCCATTTGGTGACACAAGTTGATATATTTTTTTATCTTTGCTACTCTCTAAATGTCAAGAAAGACAGAATGATGTTTGTGTTGACTTGTGTCACTAAATAGAAAGCACTCAATATGTTGTCACTTGATCGAAGTTGCACAATCCCTTTGCTTAGATAAGCTTGTAGCACGACCGATAAGCACTTGCTATGGTGTAGGTGCATACATTCATGTATCTACTTTTTATGTTTTTAAGCCAAGTAAATTTTTTGTTCCTTCTACGTATGTTCTTTTTGATTTCTCATGATTTTTGAGGGAAGAATTTTTTGATCAAAATAATACAATCTCTTTCAACGATCATATTACATCAAATGAGGCAACTTATAAATTAAATCCTCATCTTTCATCAGCTGTTCAAAAAATAAATGTTATCTTATTATGTTATTATAGATGATAAGAATGAACCAAAACATTTGAGTGCCGAACATTTGAATGTCACCAGAGGGTGTAAACGAAATTTCAAGTGCCACAGTTATGTACATGCGAGTACTAGCAGTCTATGGAAAAAAATTTAGATTTAAATACTGGAAGATGTTTGTATACAAGAACGATAAATAATTAGACAAACTGTTGCAAGGAAGAATAGAAAGTTGAATTTACGAAGCGTATCATTACAAAACATGTCGGGTACTGGGTCTGTCATATCACAAACCATTGCTCATTTGCCAGAGAAGGAACATGGATCTATTCCAACTGTAGATTACTCTAGCATTAGAGGCAAGGTATATCAAAATGTTTAGTTGTTCTTTCTCTGTCGCTTCTAAGATATTGTTATACAATATTTTATAAGAATGGAGATTAATGTGAATTCTAGACTATCTTGGTCAGTCCATCTGAAGATCAATATGAATTATTGTTGAGAAGGTTGAAAGAAAGGATACAGGATGGAGGTAGCGAAACGATTTTTGACATTGGTATCGCTGAAGGTT